TTTGACTAGTTGTCAACTACCGTATTTCCAGTTTATTTCGAAACTCCAATTCACATGATTGATATGAAGATATCAGCATATGAGCATTATACTATTGGTAATTATATACGAGTGCAGCGTAGTGTAGCGAGGTTAGGTATGTTAACAAACAAAAACATTTAGCACGAAATCTACTCATTGAGCCCACATTGCTAGGCTGTTTAGGAAATCTCAATAGACAAGAAATATCACTGATGAAAATAAGTAATTGTTGACTTTACTTTAAGAACTGATTAATAATGAAGTATGATTGTATGGTACACCGTGGATGTCAAAGAGGTTGAAAAATTACTAAACAGCCCTAGCCGAATTCCCTAATAAGTAGAAATCGTTACATAAAAATAATATTCTATGCGCTATCCATAATATTTTATGTAAACATTAACAATATGCGTTGTTTATTTTGTATCATAAATACTCATGCATTGTTACCAATAATAAAAATCAGACAAACGTATCTCTACCAAATATCAAACGGCCATAAAATTAATATCACAAATATTAAAATGAAATGAAAATTGAACAGCAGAATCCTCTTACAATTAAGTGTACCTACTCCTCGATCTAAATAATTTTCAAATCATGCGGGTTTGTGCCAATTTCTATTATATATCACAGATTAAGCCAATATGAAATATATTTATATGAATATGTATATACACAAGTTTAATCGGAATATAAGAAATGAAAGGAAGATAGACATTCACTTAATATCCAAAGTTACGTTATATTTTATGCAGATTTATTGTAATTGATTACTCCGTAGCGCTAACTGAAGGACTTTGTAAAATAACAAATACACGTTATATTTGTTCGGCGTCATTTTGGTCACATGGAGAATAGAGTACCTAAGTATAATTCTATTTGTCTACGTGCAACTTTAAAATAAGATATCCCAACTTTGTGACAGCGACACCCTGCAATATTCACCAAATAATTATATCAAGCAATTTAAATTACAAAAACTGGAAACAAATGTTACTATATATTTCCTTATACACTTAAACAGCAGTGATATGCTTCGAAAACTTCACAACTTGGAATAAAATCAATTTAATGTCCATCGGACAGACTTAATGCTCGAAATTATTTTACACAAGTAATATAAAAATGTATTTTTTAAGTATTATTATTTTATAATCGAATAAGTATTTATGTGTGCTTGGTTTCTTATATGTTTCCGACATTTGCAGTTTAGTAAATTGGTGTGAATAAAGTCGTTCGGTGCATATTAAAATATTTTAGATATTTTAGAGAAAATGCCCATTAAGAAACCAATGCGGTAATGCTTTAACTTTGTTTGTATTGTACTAGTTATTTGTCATTTATTATTCGTAAGTCATTTTTCATTCAGATTCCATTTCACTAAACTGCAAGCACGCGACTTCGACAGGCACTGACTTATAATGAAGACTTACGTACATAAAGTTATTAAATTAATAGGTACGGTAACGGTTGTGCATTATGTATATATATTGGTATATCGTCTCCTAACCGCTACAGTCCAGTATTTAACTAATAGATACAATTCTATAAGACAATGCGACTATCACGCACCCCCTGCACATTTAATATTTTCCGAAGTAGTCTGTCTGAGATTCGTATGTTTATTGAAAATATTAAATACTCAGCCGTGTGTTCATTGTTTCATATTTACTAAATCTATAATATTAATTTTAATCTCACTGATTTTTGATAACATAATTAATTTCTAGTAGCTTTATATACTTAGCGATTATTTACAGTTCAATACCGAATACTCTCCATCGTTTTTGTTGCTGTGTAAGCAACGCTGCCATTTTCGATTCGTTTGTTGGCTTTGTACAATTTATAGGACGACCATTGCTCTTTTTTAATGTTCATAAAAAGAAGTCTAATTTTTATGGAAATGTGCTAGGCAGTTTTTCGTATTTCGCATTCAATTTAAAAGAGACTTATTTCTATGACCTTTCTTTCTCTTTTCTTTCGGACTTTAAACTAAAAATGCAGGATATACTATATGAATCAAGTTATAAGATAAAATGATTTGTAGCTGCACGGTATATTTATCAACTTATCTATGTAAGTACTTATTAACTAATACGTTGATAAAATGAAATTTAAAATTCGTTATTTTCACTTATGATAATTATTCAAAGGAAGAATATTATTCGATTCAAAAGGAAACATGGCTTCAAAAGAAAATAAAAGTGAGATATGCTTAAGCTGGAATTATGTACTTCATTTATGTGACGTGTCACAAAATTTGAAGACCCTATTCCCCCCTTTTTCGTTTCACAAACTAGTCCAGTCAAAATGACATCGTGATCGTGTATGAGAGATGCAACTAAGATTTCTACGATATTTGAAAATTATTAACCATTTAGATTCGGAAGTGCTTCTCATTGAGTTTTCACTTTTCCATTATTAAAAGTTTTCCTGCTATAATAAATATTGTAGTTTAACCACTACACACGTTTTTGGGAAATATTAAATGTTCTTGCACACAGGCGTTATTCTCGCACGTATTTACGAAACACTTTTTAGGGTCCAATCCAGTCCAATAATAAAAACGGGAACTAATACTTCGCTGTCCGGTTTTCAGACACCAGGCTGTATCTCATGAACCACGATAGCTAGATAGATGAAATTTGAACAGATGATGTCCAAATTCCTGTTGGCACTTGGCCTGTTGTTTGTTTACGTTATTTATCTTTGTCTCTTCTGCCTATAAAACTCAGCAAGAGATTTATCGGGTACAATTTGTTTGTTAGTAGTATTACAACTCAAAAAGGATCATTTAGTCATAAATCCTGATACTTTTAACTACTTCAAGTAGGACAGAATGCATGTAGCATGTATTATTTTGTACGTAAGCTCAAAAAGAGATTGAATTTGAGTTATCGGTTATAATTTGTTTGTTAGTAGTTTTGTAGTTTTGTTATAATTAAAGCGATGGTCTGCGTTGGCGACGCCGCCGACATTGGTGTACTCATAAGGGCAATAAGTTGTCTGCTTACCGGTGTTCTTTCAATCTAAGTGCAATGCCCTAGGTTCGTATGCCTTTTTCAATGTCTACTATTTCAATAGACTGTCATTTCTGCTTGTTTTCTTGAATCTGTACGGTACAATTATGGTGGTATTGGTTATTTGAGATTGATTCGATTACTGCAGTCATATATATTGTCAGTGTAGTTGAGGTTTTTCAATTCTTTTGTCTATTAAAATTCTCCCGCGCCCGTCGCGTTTGCGAGCCCGTAGCCCTTGTAAAATACAGATATGTGTTCATTTAAAACCTGCGCCAGATTTGGCTTGTTAGAGTAACTGGTGGTTACTGAGGTCCTCTGTGGCTAAGCCCCCATAATATTGTTTCATTTTAGTGGCGATATAGATTTTCATACCGTTGCTTCGTTGGATTTTTTATGTTGGAACATAGGGGGTGTAGCTCGATCAAATGTATTTCGTATTGTTACTGACTAATTTTACTTTGAACATGATGTATGCTATATCTAATAAGTTACTTTTTCTGTCTTGAAATTTGGCTGCAAAGTAAACAGTTGGAATTTTTTTCAATATCGTAGAAAAAATATGAATTTCAATAATCAAATTGACTGGACTATTTATGATGTTAAGATACAATATACGGACAACACATTCTTTTGTAAAATAATAAAATCGTATTGAGGAATTTAAGAAAAGGCATGCTGTCCTACTGGAAAAGATGTAAGCGAAATTATACAATATTTTACATGGCACTGAAGTAAAAGTTTTGGATACGTAGTCTTTTAAAAAACACTAATTTAGTGAGTATTGAACAAATAACATGTATTTGTACTTTGAAGTATTTTTAGTAGACAAGGGGTACTTTCATTATGCCGCTACCACGTCTAAAACCTCTAACTTTACTAAATGGTCCAAATTTAGTATGAAATGTATAAACGCTGCTATATCAGGTGGCGAGATAGTACTGTGGACCCTTCCAGGATTTATACAATTTGTATGAGAGGCCAGCTCAGTACAATCAATACTGTAAAGAAACATAACATTTTCATTTATAACACCGGATTGTTTTACGACAATATTCAAATAAAAAAAGTTGTACCATAATCCAAAACCGAAATATTAGTGGGAGTAAATACGTGTGATAGGGAATGAAAAACAATATTTGTATGACGTCATAGCTACAGCTCTGTTATTGTCATAGAACGATTACAATAATTAATCCGAATATTTCCATCGTACCTAATTATTTTGGTCTTGGAGTATGGTCTAATGCAATATATCTATGTGAGAATAATGTTACAATTTCTGTAGGTATACACGAATGTCAGAGTAAATAAGCTATGAATAGCTTATATAATATTGAGCCACTGAAGTATATATTATATTTAATTTTCACTATTTAAAGCTCTTAGTTTTCATTCATGCGAATTCTATTATCGCATCGAATACTAATGCCCGTTGTGCCAAACGCAGCTTTAACGCAGAGCCATGGACTGCACGATAACGATATCGGTACATTACTAGCAGTCCACACAGATGACGTGCGAGTAATGTAGCTGACACCTGTACATGAATGACTCCCATTAACCCACGTCGCGCGTAGGGCAACAAAATTATTAAGATTATATTAGAAATAACAACTAGTAAACTTTTATAGAGTGACTAGAATATATTATTAAAAAACAAAAGCTTTGCTTTTGGCATTTCGCATAGAGTTTACACACTTTTTATAAGAATTGTATTACACATGTAAATGTCCTTAACACTCACTTACGAGTTTGTTATGAAGGTCACTTGAATGTATGTAAACACTGCACTTTTTAGTGTCCTATGTTTATTATTTAAATGGTCATAATGTTCACTATTTCATAAGATTATAGAACTTGAACCAGAATAATAATTATCATCAGCCCCTAAATATACCAGCAACGAAACCTTGTATCAGCCAATAGTCAAAGAGTACGTACACTATCGGTCCATTAAATGGTCCACACTTGCACTTTCTCTGCTATAACACACCAGCTGGCTTGATCGTAGTACGAAGACACCACGTGGAGACTTTCCACGTACTTCTCGATCAGCTGGTCTAGTTCTCCACGCTTGAAGACGTGGTAGTAGCGATGGTAGGTGACTGCTCCTCCTTCCGAAGGCAGGCTGTCTGACCCATCGCTCAAGGAGGGCAATAGCGGTGCGTGCGGGAAGGCACGAGGAGGTGGCATAGCAGGAACTGGAGCGGTATCTTCTGATGATGAGCGAGTCTCTAACAGTTTCCTGTCTTTAGAGCACTCGCTGTATGAAGGTAGGGATGCGAGGCTGGCGCAGCCGAGAGATGCTGTGCTGCCCGTTTTGTCACGTCGGCTCCAGTCACTTCCTGCCGATGTGTCGCTGGATTCTATCGAGAATCCAGATTTTAATGGAGCTGTACTGGCACTTGAGCGAGATGTTACGGATTCAGGACTTATCTCCATCTTGTCCAAGTCACTTGAATCCGTCGATTGACCGACTTTCAGAGACGATCTCTTGTCGGTGCTGGTGCATAACGAGTCAACACTAATTTCGGATTCTAATGAGTATCCGGTCTCTAGAGATTGACTCGTATCGTATGACGCTCCCGAGTCGATCGTTATTTCGGGATTGCCGTTACTTGACGATATTGCACTATCGTCGTCTGGATTTTTAGCGTCAATGTCCGGTAGTTTTTCAGTCAATACTGGTTTCGTGTATTGGACGTTGGCACAATTGTTGAGGTAAATGTCCTCTTCACTTGAAACCTTCATTGACTTCTTTAATTCCCTGTATTTGTTGATGATGGGGTCGACGTCTTTGGATCTCTTCTTGCTTTTGGTCTTAGAGATGCATTTAGGGAAAAGCTTGCTAATGTCGGTTTCTTGAACCTCATTTAAGGAAGCAATGTATTTGTTTCTCTCCTGTAATTCTGCACTTAATTTATTAAGACCCTGCATTTCTGTGCTTATTTTATGAATGTACGGATCTTCTAGGTGTTGCAGACTATCCGATAATTCATCTAATATTTTTTGCGTGTTTCGGTCTTCTTCCTCTCTCTTTAATCTCAGTGAGATGCTCTTTTCACTGCTGCTGCTACTGGGTAGATCAAAATCTTCTTCATTTATTCGTTTAGAATATTGATCTATTTCTTGCAGTAATTTTTCACTTAACTTTTCTGCGAATTCAGTTAAGTGTTGACTGCGGTCTTGTTGATCTGACCATTCTTCCTCAGTAGCAATCATGTCAGATTTACAGGTTACAAGGGGCTCATTAGCTTGTATTCTATTAAAGCTTTCTGACTTGGATATTGATTTGTCAGAATCTGTGCTCGATATTGAGATGGAATCGTATGGTAATCTAGTCGGACTTCTATGTGTTTTACCGAGGTTTTCGTCTAAGGATCGGCCTTCTGGTCTGTTCGGTGATAGTCTATTCAAGCTCCAAGTGGAATTACTGGTGCTGCCTAATTTTGGAGAGCGATCTTTAGACCTTCTCCCTGGAGAAAGTCGTTCCAGGCTGGAAGAGCTTCCACTTGAGCTTGTATGGGATTGGGATCTTGATTCCAATATCCTTAAGTCTCCAGGCGACAATTTGTTTAAGCTCCAGTTACTACTGCTGCTGCTACTGGAAGCCCCCTGTACAATCGCCATTGCTTCGGCACTTTCAAGCTTTTCTAAATGCCTTCTCTTTGACCTTGGACTGCTTTGGATGACAGTTTCGCAAGTTTCATCCAAAGAGTGTGCGACTTCGGCTGCAGCTTCGATAAGACTCTGTGGACCCAATGATGGTGGTAGAGGAAGTTTATCAGAAGATGGCTCTTCCTTCACCTCAGGTGTGGGATTAGGTAAATCTGAAACAATTAATATGAAATTTTGCCATAATTTTGTAGACAAAGAATCTTTTGGTATATAATTTGAGATACGCCCAGGAATCAATCGAACCTGTTAATCACGCTACTTGAGTAGATTGTGATGGCTATACGTATCTTACGGATACATGAGGAATACGGACCTAGAATATGTTTAAGTTTTTATGCTTATTACGTACCTTTTTCTAAAGCAGTTTTCTTTAGTTCTTCAGGTACCACACTTATGACGCTGTCGACAGAGTCTGGAGAAGAAACGCCGCTGGAGTCGCTATCCATGTCATCTGTTGCTGGGTTGAATAGTTCGAGAGACATGAGTGTGGGCCGGCTTTTTACTATTGGCTCCGCGTTTCTAGATCCTCGAACTATTGGGAACGGAGGTCTTCTGCTTATACTTCCAGATGGTATTCCTTTGTTCAGCATTTCTTTTATCTGTCGTATCCGTTCTTTTCGCTTACGATCAGCTGATCTTGAGTCTAAGGTGTCGGTGCTTGATTTATTTGTTTCTTTCGGCCTATATTGTGGTATTTCTGGTAATTCTGCGACAGTTTGTAATGTAATTTTCGGATAGGGTTTGACGTCTTGTAATACTACCCGTGGTTGAAATTTGTTGGTCTCGGCTGTCAATTTATGTATTTCTTCGATGTCGTTTAATTTCTGCAAGTAACTCTTTAGTTACGTCACTCGTTGGAGTTTCCTCTTCTTCCTTAATAGGAGGTATGGGATCGATTTCTTCAAAGACATCAATGGAGGTGTTGTTACTTAGGATTGGTAGTGGTTCCGGTTTTGCTATTGTAGTATCATCGGATTCTGACTTAGGCGGAGAGTTAGGCTGACTTTTAGACTGTGGCTTTAGAGGAACTGTTGCCACAGAGGTAGTAGTAGAGTAGTTCTTTAAACTATACTGAGCTACTAAAATTTTGTTAACTGTGGTTGGTGCCTGTACAGAATTTGGCGAGGCTGGAGGTCTTATCAAAGGAAAAGCTTGTTTGATTCTAGGCGATGGCAAGCCTGGAGAGCTTTTCATTCGAGGTGACGTGGGAACCGAAGATACTTTTAGTCTTGGTGAAGTGGGTCCAGGCGATAATGGTGTGGGTGATAGTGGATCGCCCGATCCATCTGCTTTTGGGACGTAGATTACAGACGCAAAACTGTCTTCGGAATCTACACTGGTGTCGCTTTGAAGACTGCTGTCTTTTGATGAATCAGACCCATCTTCTTTGGAATGTCTTCGTTCAGGGTAGGTTTTGTCACTTCCAGTATTATTGTCGCTTGGCGTAGGAACTTCTGGTGCAGGTCCGTGATTTTTCCAACCCTGGAGCATTCTTACAAACACAGTAACCTTATCTATATTCGTTGTAGACGTTTTGAATTTGCTAGTGAGGCCGTTTTTTAGTGACTGGAATTTTTTGCCAGTTGTCGCGGAAGTGGAAAATATTGAGTCCCGGATGGAGTCTAAAACTCCGGGTCTCCGATAAAGGTACTCTTCATTCAGTGAGGCCTGTTTCTGAATATTTTTCCTCAACCTTTCCTTTTCTCTTAACCGCTCAACTGACATCAATTCCTCGTTGAGGGAAGTTTGTTTGAATACGCCCGGTTTTTTACTTGATTGTAACCTAGGCGTATGTATTTTAAAGTTTGGCATTTCTTCTACCATACTTTTCATGTCGGTGGGTTTATCGAGATCTTCCTCGGCATCGTCTTCATTAATCGACTTCTTTTGTTTTACAAGCCGAGGTTTCTTCCGAGGTTCATTGATCTCTGGCACTGGAATTGCTGCTGGCGGTGGTTCGGTTTCCTCGCCACCCAAACTAGGTAAGCTAGATCTAGATCGGACTAGCGCTCGCCTCTCTATATCAGCGATGTCTGTCAAACTTCTTGACTTAATCGTTGACGCGTCTGAGTTTTGTGTGATTAATCTAGGAGGGAGTGCTTCATCCAGGCGTCGTAGCTCAATAGGTAGGTCAGCTGCGGGTGGTTCGGGCCGTAGGCAAGGTCGTTGTGGTACCCGAGCCCCGATACTCCATGATGGTAGGAAAGATCTCCGTCCCGCCAATCGTTGTAGTGCTCTTCTCACGAATGAGTAGCACGTCTCGTTGGGTGAGGAAAGTGATGATGATCCTGGAGAACCATCCCGACTTTTCCAAGGCTCAGCGTTACTGTAAAAAGTAAAATGTTTTAGATATTGGTTACATTGTAGAATAAGTTTATACAGTGAATGATAAAACTTACTGTTCATTGTCAACAGACAGAAATCTTGGAGCTGGTGTTGGCGGGCACAGCGTGACTGGTCGATGCCAAGGGATCAGCACATCCTACAAGAAAAAAGGAGTCTTTAATTTCTATTAACATAGAATGTGCCAATTATTAACAGTCAACTCAAAATCATAGATTAAGATAGCGCAAAATTATTTAGATTCAAAAGCTGTTCATACTCATATGTAGATGTGTAAGTACCTGTGAATGGAAGTTGCGACCCTCATGTTCCATAGCCCAGACAGTGAGAAGTAATCTTCCACCTATCCGGGTGACTCTAGCCAGCTCCCGTAGCGCCATCGCTCGCCTCTCCACCGTGGCGAAGTGGTGAACGACGGCGATGGATAGGACCGCGTCGAAGGACTCATCGCGGAACGGTAGGCACAAGTTATCGCACGCAACCACCTGCGGAGATGACAATTTGTATACTGAAACTGATTGCTGGTTTTAGCGACAAATCCGCCACTGTAATGCAGTACACAATTTATAGTAAAGCCACTGTGCACTATCAGTTGGATTGCGGGGGCTTAATATGGAAAATTAATATACACAGGTATATTATCAGAAAAGTACAAAATATAAGACTATAGTTGCCAGGTTTCTTCTATAATTTGTTGGATGCAATGCTAGAATAATTGCATATGCATAAAGACATCTAAGTTAATGTTGTTTTAAATCCACTATTTTATCTGATTTAAGAATTTTATTTTTCAAAAAAAGAATAGCAGAAAACATGATAACTTAAAATTAAAGTACTTAAAATAAAATTAAAGTAAGTAGTTAGCATGCGGTACACTGATTAAGAATGTGAATATTTGTAAAAATATAATAAAAATAACTTATGATAAAGGGAATGAACATGCAGGTGGTACAAATGGGAATTATTTTAAACAAGTATTTTGTCATAAGTGAAAATCACATAATAATAGCAATAATCAATAGCAATCTGTTGCTTCATTTTTGCAATTGATAGAACGTAGACGCGGTTTTAAGAATAAATCAAAGACAGTTTTTGACCTACTTAATCGTCCACAGATGATTTCAATCATACAAGTAAAAAATGGGTGAACAAAATGATTTTGCGGTAACTGACCTCATTGTTGTGATGTCGCGCTTGCGTAGTGAGCCGGGTACACCGGTCCCCTCCTACAGTGTACACGGACGGATTTACGCTAAGGTATTTTCCGTTTCCACATCCTGGAGACAAAAAGAACATTATATTTTAGTGTCTTGACATCATTGGGATAACATCAAAAGCATCTCCTTCGTCGCTGCCCGGTCGAACTCGATCAGATCCTTGGAGATATTTATTACTGTATTTGATTCTAATATTTTCATTAAGTATAGTAGCCATGAAGTTTGGTCATATCTTGGTTCTTGTACAATAGTTTGTATAAACTATGTATAATGAGTCATCTATTATATTCTAAGACAACTTATTTGTTGTTAAAGGGCATTTATATGACGTAGTAATGTCTTGAGTGGGTTTCCTTAATCTCCAGCAAATGTTTTACGAATTTGTGGATGTATTTCAAAGGTTATAATAACACTTGCATAGATTTTTTCTTGTAGAATACACCTACGGAAAGCGTGGGCAGTTACTTTATTAAAGTATCTTTTTATTTACATGTCTGTAAAATTTTAATTTTACAAAACATATCAATCAATTATTATTAACGACTGTTCTTCCCTAATTCGTTTGAAAGTGTAATTTTTGTCAACTGCTTTGTTTTTGGGTCAAGTCAACTCGATTACATACATCAGATTCAACTTTTTTAAAGTTCAAACATGAGATATAGCATGTTTTACAGTCATTGTGTACTTCTTCGTATATATTCCGTCGCTTCTTACGATACGCAATTTTTATACATATGATTTTTACATGATTTTTATACAAATACACACGTTCACATTTTTATTTAGATATCTAAAGAACAAAGAAAGACAGCAGTAACTGCATTTCGCTCTCGTGAACGGGTGGGCGTCACTGCAAATATGCAAGTATTCTAGATGTTATTAGGTTGTAGAATTCTATCGGAATACTTCGCTGGGATCAAAGTAATGTGACAGACGAAGCTCATCCCATTTCAAAGATTTATAAAATATTTTACATTGCTTGTTGCATAATGTCTTGGTGAGAATTCCAGCTGTATTTCCTCGAAAAGGTATACTACACGAATACTGGAATGTATAATAATGTCTGAGTATACTACAAGTTGAGTGTGAGGAGATTTTTACTAAATATGTAGGCTTCATATTGGTAGTTAGTAGATAACGAGGATTATTTTATTTTAATTGGAATAAGAACATATAACAAGGTATGTTCATCAATTTGATCTCTTCTAACGAGCAGTCCAGTCTAATGGCATAATCAACAGCACCTGACTATGCACTCTTTGACAAAGACTTCCTCGAGAAAGTAGAAGACGGTTGCCATAATTTTCACGTTTGGCAAGCGATTTAGAAAATGCAGTTTAAAAATATCAAGTTTATAAAAGAGCGCTGTTGCGTAGTAGAGATGATGGTCACACAAATGTGTCATACATTTTTGTCTTACCTAGGTAAAGCCTAAACAACTACCTTACCAGGTAAAGGATGTACTTACCGACATCACAAACAAGGCTGCCGGGCTCGAGTTCAGAGAGGAAGGCCTGCACGCCAGGCGCGGGCGCTCGCGAGCTCTCGTCTCCGTCATCTCCTGCTTGCTCGTAGACGTCGTGCACGTACGCCCGTTCCAGCGCAGCGCCTCGTGCAGCTGACTCGCCCGCCCCCTCAGCAACCGCGCCCGCGCCCCCATCCGCCATCACCGCACCGCCATTGCACTGTGCTGCAAAATTAAATAAATAAATCAGTAAATTCTCGCCACCAGTGCGTAATCCTGTACTAAAGTTCATGAAATTCTTTTAGTTCACTATGATTTTGTATTTGCTTCACTTGTCAAAAAATGTTTAAATTAAGAACTTAACCAGTTATGATTAAGTTGGTTTAGTTCTTAATTTAAAATTGCACTTTTTTTTGGTCCCGAGTTTCAATTCATTGATCACATTGACGTCATTTGAAACGTCAAACATTGAATACAAAGTCGTGACATGACGTTACACATAAATGCATTTTTCATTTGTGACGCTAACAAAACATTCTATCGATTGATCTTCTAAATTTAAACGACACAGTTCGCGTGGGTTTCTCGTGACTGTCGTCATCTGCTCATGATTTTTTAATGAAATCAATATTAGCGTTGCAAAGGCACTGATCAATAATTCTACCAGTGACTTTGCATGCACCTTTTTATAGAAATAATGACATAATTTGTCCTAGCAATACAACGTAGACGTCATTCTGACGCAGTACCAAAGCCATTGCTGTCTATAGCGTGGAAGTTTTATGTTGAACTTAGTTATTTAAATAATTGTACCTCGTTTGAAAATATATAGTGGAAAAAACTAAACATTTTGCAATGACGAACCATACTTTTTGAACTTTGATTGTCTTACAGCAATAATTAATAAACATGTACTAAATTGCCTCATGACTGCCTCGTTGCCGAGTGGTCGCAAGTGCGACCGCCAGGCAAGGAGTCTCGGGTTCGATGCCCGGTTCGGGCAAAGTACTATGTTTTAACAAGTACTGGGTTTTTAAAACTTTCTCAGTGGCAGCACAGAATCTGGACATACAATACTCTTATAATATAAATAGTGAAAAGTGGGTGTTACATTGTACAGTGGCATTAAGTTCCGTAATGTGTACCTCTGCCTACCCCTTCGGGAATAAAACCCCGTGATGTTATGTTATGTTCTCAATGTTTGGTTTTTCAAAAGATTTTGGAATTTGGAAACAATAAAAGCCCATAAACTGTCAAATTCATTAGATGTATTTCAACAATGTAGTTCCTCTGTTCTCCCATTATTGTTGTAACTGATCAGGCGGAGTTAATTACATTGCTATTATAAACAAAAGCTATGTTTAATTGTGTTTATCACGTGTAGCGTGACCCGCTGACCCGGGGCGTACTCCCTTATCCCGGGACAGGGCTGCCACTCTACAATATCTTTAATGCGAAAAATTATTCCTTGTGTAGAATTCCTTTGCCTTTTCTACATTAGACGAAAAATGAGCCTTTTGCTTCATGTGTTGTGAGTTCAATTTTAAATACCACCTTTAGGCTAATGACTTATTAAACACAGTACAGTTGAAATTCTATCGCTTCGTTTTAATATTTGCTATAATTCTCTAGGCAGCCCTGTTCGCTCGGTTCATGGGCTCGCCCCAGCACCTATCAGCTTTTAACCCCATAAATCGCAACGGTTCGCAGACGTGACTATGCTACTTCCGAGTTCCCCTAAATTGAACGCCCCCCACTTTTTGCGCCCAACACTGGTAGCGAATTCCACGAGAATTTCCCAAAGGCAATTTAGTGTATACGATGTAGCTAGCTGCTTTTTAAATTGTTATTACAGAATGCAGATGTTTCGATTTCTTCCGTTCTATTTTAAGACTGTTATTTAAATTGGATAGTCGTGGAACTTTAATGTATTTCTTAATAAATCACCATGCCTGTTTTTCCTTGAGGATGTGGAATTAGCAGTCTACAGCACACTTATTTCTTTACCTTTACCAGTTATTTTACACTGTCGACCAAAGTTACCACGTGATCAGTAGTTACAAATAGCACAATAGCAATGATTTTAGTCAAACGATCTACGCAGCTGTATGAAGAACACTACCATTTTCAATAGTTGAAAGCAGGGGCAAATTTTGTACCCATTTCCCATAACACCAAAAGTATAGTCCAACCGAATCCATATTACGACCGACTGTTATATTTATTTTATTGGTTGTAACATCAGATCTGGTCGTTAGTAAACAAAGAATCAAATAAAATATGTGACGCATGTGCCACGGGTGCTTGCCCAAACATTTTATTAACAAAGTTTTTGAATCAGCTAAATGTTCGAGCTCTTAGCCGCCCTTAACTGTAGCGTCCTTTTGTAAGGACAGCTATTTATAGGTTACACGGGGAAGTCGTGGCTTCGTTGAATTTTTATTTTGTGGTTTCTGAAGACGATCTGTTAAGTCGTAGTGTTGTAGCATACACTATGGCGATAGTTTAATATTACGTGCCAACATTGAAATTTAGTACGGACTGATCTTTCCTTTTTTAGTACTCTACTATGAAAAACGTTTTTTAGATTACCATCTCCTGATGATAAACGATTTGGACACCCTAACATCAAAGAAGTCACAAACGCATTGTAGGCTTTTAATTTTAAAAATAACTAATTACTCTAGTTTTTCTATTTATAAATCCAACCCTGACTAAATAATCATGAAGACAAACATAAAACGCCAAAATGTTCTATCGATTAAAAAAAATGGGTAACGTCTCTCGCCTTCCCCAATCCTTGGAAGAGGCCTCGTATCTACTTACGGTGTGACCTACTTAGCAAACGAATTCTTAAAAGGACCCTTCCTAATATACACTACCTATAAATAAAAGGAACTTTTTGCTTTGGCTCATATTAGTTTATTTACATATCTGTTTGTATTGTAGAAACTATAATATTCCTTCCAATACACTCAATTTTATCACATCAATCAAAATCCTCGTACGTAAACAACAACATAGCTAATATACGAATCTATTTAATAAACATAAGTCTCCAAGGACTAATTTAACATAGTTTTGTATGATAGCACGTTTATAAAGTAATCGAATAGCCGGGGAGGGCGCGTGCCGGTTGCCTGGCAACGCATCTGGGACATAAACCGGGTCGCCGGGAAACCTTCAACCCAACACCGGGGTGGCCGACTGAATGCACCGATACCATGTACGGGTAGTACGCGCCTCTCTCTTACCATTTGAAATTCAAAACGTTTTGGAAGCCATTTTGAAGATTTTTCTTCTATTTTTCTTTAAAATTATATTGTTCTTCGTTTGATATGTTTGATATGTTAACAGATCATGTCTGAATAGTAATGTTAAGTTTATAAGTACTTCCTAGTGATTTCTGGTCAGAAATTAATATAATTCTTTGTATTCAAGTTCATGAAAAAGCTGTTAAAATGCATTTTGCTGTGCCAAGAAAGCACTTTCTAGAATTAGAAACACGACCGAGGAAGAATCTCAAATTCAGTTCTTTGTTACCTGTGAACCAATTTGATAAATAACTTGTATAAGATATTATTATAACGTAAATGTTTTAGTTATAGCTAGTTGTTCTGACCGGGGCTGTACATTAGTGTGGGTCGCAATGCGCTGCCCTGCCTATCTGATAACTATTTGTGCCTTTGCAATATTGTACTTGCCATAAAAAATGTGCCTCGCTCGTATTTCCATCAACATCATTCGAAACGAATTAGTCTTCAAAAGGCTTTTATTGATCCCTGTTGCAGTTTGCAGCTTTATGTACGAATCGACTGACAGCTCGTAAGACCATTACGATTTGAAAATGGTCGGCCAGTTCAGTTTTTCTTTGTTGTACACTATTCAACGTGGATTTGCTATTTAGGAGTTCTTTGAATTCGATTGTGGCTTTTAGCATGTATCGTGAGTACGTAATAATATTGAAGATTTACTTCAATATTATTAGGACCATTATTGAAACTATCTTCTATCTACTGTATCAATAGAGAAATTCATCAAACTATTTTGGGCTTTACTGAGTCGAAACAAAATACTGAACCACATTTTCTACCCAAAAGGATATAAAGAACAATTTTCATTAAGGGTAAAGAAAATATGGAACCTAAACACTAAAAACATTAAGGTAGGAAGCTACGAGTAATAAAAGCAAATTACTGTACAAAACTTGCATGCCGTTAAATACACAAAAGCTGTTGTCTCCATACAAATTACCTTCACTAAGCCGAATGCTTTGTCATTTCACAATAATGAATGGTTTAGGAACCTATACTGGGTAATCGATCGACAGAAATGAGCTGCCGCTAACGTATTCACCAGTTATTGGACAAAATGAGTCCGAGGTTTCATAGCCCTATCGTAAACGAATTTTGTAGTTGAAAATGATACAATTCTTATGTTGAGTATGTTCCTTTTTTATTTATAGTAATATATCGCCTTTTGATCGAATTTCATTATTAATTTCACCGAAAAATAAAAAAATAATTAAAAAATTTATCGTGTAATAATTTTAAATTGACAGAAAATGATAGATCCTTCTCAACGATACACATATAGAGAAGATTGCTGTACTGATGCAAATCCTCACATTTTGTTGATAACAGTGTTGTATATAGCTAATATAGCAGAAATTAGTTTAGGGGTCAAATCTGTGTCGTCTAGTGTAGGCCGTCTAACAGCACAATAACAGATGACCCGAGACCTAAAAACAGAAATATAGAAGGATCGAAACATCGAACTAGGACACTAATCAAGTTAAGTTACTTCTTGAATATTGATAAATCTGTTTATGTATGAAAACACAAGAAAAACCTTAGTAATATTCGTACTTTTAAACAAACCCAACTCAAGTTTCTTATACGTATAAGATACGCCAGATACCAGGCGCACAGAAAACAGTAGGAGATACAAATATTAAAATGTTAAATTAAAACCTCGTTTGTGTGCATCGTTCGGTGGGGCGGGTCGACGGCCGCGCGACCTACTTGCAGCTGAAGCCGCGTGCTGCAGACACCCACCATGAAATATGAACGGAATCTGATACTGTTACAACGTGTCCATTTGAATAATATGGAAAATAGACTCCCATTTTCTTAACGACCGAGTAAGGAATACTTTAGGTTGAGTTGTATTCTCTACCTATTAATTTTAGAAAGCTTCTGT